CCATCCCAGATGTCAGTGACTTTTTTTCTTCAGTAGAACAGTAAAGAAGATTTTTATCTGAAACGGTGATCCTTGGCGATTCATACACTGCACGTCTTCATAAGGCCTCAATGTGTCCTCAGGAGCCTTTGGTAATTTGGTCTTGTCTGTATGTTTATTTGACTCTCAAAAGCCGGCAGCCAGAGACGTGCAGTTTATGAATTGCAATGTTTTCAAAGACCATTAGTGATGTCCGGTTCGCGAATGAACGAATCGTTCTATTTAACCGGTTCTTCTTAGTGAACCGGTTGAACCAGTTCACCAAATCGGACTGAATCGTTTGAAACGGTTCGCGTCTCCAGTAAGCACTAATCCACAAATTACTTAAATTTAACTTTTTTAACGTGGCTGACACTCCCTCTCGTGCATGCAGCATGCCGGTTAGAGCGGTTCTCGAGTCAAGAACCGGTTGCATCGGTTTTCGGATCACCAGTACACTGAACCGAGAGCCGTTTCTTTCTGACATGTCCGATTTGAGAACCGCTGAGCTGATGATACTGCGCATGCATGATTCAGCGTGAAGCTATCGAACAGTACACATGATTGGAGAAGGGTCTGGCTGCAGCCTTGCGCTTGCACTCTCAGGCACTTGCACTTCCGCTAGCGACGTCACTTGCAGTCTTTATTTTTTTTTATTTTGTTCTATTTATTTATTCTTTTTGTTTGAATCTCTCAACATTTTACAACTTAGTTTCTTTTTTCTTGTCTTCACCACCTGGCTACTGTTGTAAAATGTTGAGAGATTCAAACAAAAAGTAATCAATAAATAGAACAAAATAAAAAAAACGGCAAGTGACGTCGCTAGCGGAAGTGCAAGTGTCTGAGAGTGCAAGCCTGAGAATGCACGTCTGAGAGTGCAAGCCTGAGAATGCACGTCTGAGAGTGCAAGCGCAAGGCTGCAGCCAGACCCTTTTGCATGATTGCCTTTGCCTACTATGACTGACACAGCACGTCTGAACCAAACTGGTTCTTTAGGACAACCGATTCTGTGCTAATGTTATGAGCGCGGGTAAACCAAAGACTTGAATGAAGGGCAATCTGGCGAAACTTAAGTTTATTTAATAACAAATAAATCGCAATGGATTATGTATAGTTAGTGGATTATGGTTTCTGCACTGATGACAACTAATTTATTCACTTTATATCTTCAAGACTTAAATCCTCGTATGCACATCACTGCCTGTTACTGTATTTGGGTATATAGTTGCAACACTTTATTGTAAACTTTTCAGATCATGATTATGATGTTTTAAATGACTGAAGTTATGATTTCTGACTATATATTTGAATGTGTATTTTCATCCCGGCCCGGGACGATAGACTTGATATCATTACGTCATCGCGGATGACGTCATTACGTTAGGGTGTAAAAGAACCGATGAACCGGTTTTTTGAACCGTTCATTAAAACGAACTGTCCGAAAGAACTGGTTCGCGGAAAAGAACCGGACTTCCCATCACTAAAGACACTAGGCTTGTTTGAGATGCGCCTCGCCTCGCCTGAAATGTTGGTGAGAGTAGGCGGCTGCAGTGAGGGGAGGAGTGAAATCAGCGCAGGTAATATGAACAAGACACTCAAAGTGCTTGCTATTTAATTCCATACGAAAGGCGTATTTGTCATTCATTTTTACTTTACAAACATGTATTTTAGATTTTTATAGAAATATGACAACAATCACATATCTCACTAAGAGATCGCACTGTCATAGTGTTTGGGAACATTCATGCATAATTTAAATATATAATCACATGGAACCAGATAAAAAAATAAAACATTTTAAAGCTGTAGTTTTCTAAATGTTTGACCAATAATTTTAGTTGAATGGACTATAAAACTATTTCAGTAAAGGTTGAGCCAACTAAAAAATAACAATTCAGGCAACACTTTGAAGACAGAAATTGACTGAACGTAAAATTTCTGTGGAACTTGTTACTAAATAATAATTAGTTGAAACGGCTTGAAATTTTTTACAGTGCACATGAGTTCATAATCTTATGACATAACAACAATCAAGAAAGTCTTTCAGGCTTCTGTGCTTAAATGTGCAATGTGTAAAATAGTGTACATCCTCATTGGGAAACAACAAAAACGAGGTACTCCAGTTGTAGAAATGTAGAAAAAGAAATGTAAAAAATTACAAAAAATAAAGCTGTTAAAACTTATTTTTATTTGAGACTTTTTTTGGCTGCTACTATGGGCTCAGTGCTAATAATCTTTTCTACAGATAACCAAATTACAAGCAATAGCAGAAAATAAATACAATAGAACAAAGGCACACATTAAATAAACAGTGCATTTCAGGGTTTTCTTGTAGGTCTAAAACAGGGCTGCCCAAACTCGGTCCTGGAGGGCTGGTGTCCTGAAGAGTTTAGCTCTAATCCCAATTAGACACACCTGAACCAGCTAATCAAGCTCTTACTAGTCATACTAGAACAGGGCTGTCCAAACTCGGTCCTGGAGGGCCGGTGTCCTGAAGAGTTTAGCTCTAACCCCAATTAGACACACCTGAACCAGCTAATCAAGCTTTAACTTGGCATAGAAACTTCCAGTCAGGTGTATTGAGGCAAGTTGGAGCTAAACTCTGCAGGACACCGGCCCTCCAGGACCGAGTTTGGACACCCCTGGTCTAAAATAAGTTTTTAGGTACAGAAATTTAACAGTTATACACTGCATAGTCTTCACTGTATAAATTAAATATAGATTGATCCTTATTAAAATTACAAAAGTTGTTCTGTCAAGAGCAGTGAGAGATTGTTTGTTCTTTGACAGAAGCAGGTTTATTGTTAGTCTGCTTTCACTTTAAGAAAGAAAGCACCGATCCAATATATTGATAGACATGCATTTTCTTTCTCAGCTGTTTACATAACCGACTGTGTTTACTAGGATATTCGTCAAGACGTGCATTTTGAGGTAATTTTGTCTGTATTTGTTCATCCAAGCACAGAAAAGTGGAAGAGATCTTAATTGAGTATTGGTGCGCTGCAGGGGCGATTCTAGGATTTTCATTTTAGGGGGGCTCAGCCCCCAATGAGGGTATTATATATATATATATATGTATGTATGTTTGACTAATAGGGGTGGCATGCTAAATTTATATACCAAAAAGTGAAGTATTCCACTGTATTGCACACTGCTTTAGTTATTTGGCCAAGAGAAGGTGTCTTAAAAAGCAGCATAACTGCATATTGAACAGTCTTTGCTTTGGTTGCACATCCATGATACTTTAAAATGCTATCAAATTGGGCAGCTCATTAGACTTTAGAACAGAGCTTATATTTATAAGACAAACACAAATCTTCACTCTCTCTCTCTCTCTCTCTCTCTCTCTCTCTCTCTCTCTCTCTCTCTCTCTCTCTCTCGTATGCGTTCATATGTGCTTCATTTTCTATAGCCCCCCTAAAAATGGCCTAGCGACGCCCATGGTGCGCTGTCTGATGCGACTGTCCGTGTGCGTGGCTCTGTGCGCAGAAAACTTCTAGCATCATCTTCTCACCGCGTCTTTTAAGCTCACTCACATTGTGCCTTCAGACAGTCCTTATATCGAGTCCTGACACGTGAGTTTGAAGGAGAATGCACGCGTTGACGGTAGTGCATAGGCGGAAATTGCGTGAAAATGTGGACAGTGCCAAAATAAGTTGACTATTTATAGCAAGTATATCGATATTTTACGCGTGGCATTGATACATCGTATCGTTGGACATTTGATCGATGGATCGTTACACCCCTACAGAACGGCCAGGCATAAGAATACATTTATTTATTTATTTAACACACCATACTTCTTATTCACATTTCCTTGCATTTATACATAACTTACCTGTACACACAAATGCCATCTACTGTAGGTATATTTTAGTATATTGTGTGTGTTTTTTTTTAAAGTATTTGTTGTATATTATTATTTCCTATTTACTTATTCTATTTTTATTATCTGTGTCTTGTCACTGCAATCTGTGCTGTGGAAGCTTCGGTCACCAAAACAAATTCATCGTATGTGTAAACATACCTCTTTCTTTCTAGCTCTTTCTGATTCTGAATACGTCAGTCTTTTTTTTTTTTTTCGAATAGGCTGTCACTGTCTTGTAACTTATTTTTAGCGTGAGCGACCAGATAGAATCTTGCACAACTTAAAAATGGAGAATACACCGGCAATTCTACACCCTCTTTCTTTTATTGAGTTGCAGTAAACAGCTATTATTAGTCATAAAAAAAACACATAACGTTGTTTTAACCAAATATTATCCAACCCTCTAGTCAGTCACTGGCTAATCTATCATTTTGGGGCAGGACTGAGGCAGCGCTTTGTTTAATATCCTTTTGTATCCTTTCTTTACTTTTATGCAAACTATAAGGCGCTGTCTTTAAACCCGTCCTTGATATATTTGAGATAATGTTTTTTCGTTTTTCGATCATGAGATCATACCCACGTATACAGGAATAAAGATAAGTAATAAATTACATTTAAATTAGCCTATATATTGAGGTATTGAATAGGAGTTTGAAGAGGAATTGACTCAATTGCAATCCAACGACATTCAACAAGCCTATTTAATCCTTGACATTAAGAGCATGTTTGTTTTTTCCCTTAGCTGATCAGCTGTATTTCTAATGAATTGAACTCAATTCAATACTGTCAAAACAAGTCCACCACAATGCATTTAGACAACTTTATAAAAAGAAATATCAAACATAAAAAAAGATTGATTCTTGCCAAAACCTGTTTTTTTTTAACTACACTTACAGCAGTTTAGCCTTAAATTAAAATTCTTAATTTTGTTAGCTAAATTCAGAAACATTCAGATTTATGAACTGAACTGGAAATTTACAATACATTCTCATTTTAATTGAACTAAATGCCACACAGCCCTGTTGTCATGTCACGGAGAAATGCAATTCTTATTTAATTAACGATTATTTTAAAATCTGCATTTAAGTGTATATCAGTTTTCTTAAGAACTTACCAGACAGGATGATGTACAAAGAAAACATGCCAGTGGTAATGCATATTGTCTAAACCTGCCGACTGATAGATAATACACAAGAATTAACCATTTCCAAATCGTTCAAAACATGACACCATTTTGACCATTATGAAAAATGCAAAAATGCACATAAATTAGTGATTACCTGGTGGATTTGATTTCTTCATCAATGGCATGACCATGGCTAAGTATGGTGTTCTCCTAGAATAATTTTACAGCAGCTTTGGAGCTAATTACATGTTCTCCCAATATCAAGCGAACAGCCTGATAAACTGGTCACACTGCTCTGAACATGAGGAGCCATGTGACGTTTAGTTGGCACAACACAGCAGTTCTTGGTTACACTATTTTGATTAGCCAATTTGCATATTGGGATTATGGAAATTAACCAGATTGCAGGTGAGAACTGACCATGATGGTCAAATAGTATGTTCCAGTAGAGGAGGCAGACATGTCATAGTGTTTTGTTTTTTTTTCTTCAACGTTTATTAGAAGAAAAATGTCTTCTCAAAAATGTGGTTTGTTTCAATATCACATTAAACGTGTAAAAAGATCTGACATCATTTATCTTGGATTCATTTTATACATCTCAAAACACAGCCATTTTAACAGGGGCATGTCGATTTTTATATATCCCTCATTTAGTCTACGGTATTCCATCAGTCTAGAGGATTTGTTCCTACTTTTTATTATTTAATAGGTAAAAATTTTAAGTTCAATTGCTTGGAAAAGAAATAGCACACCTGTCCTTAACAAGCCACATAAAGCAGGGTGTTTCCAGAGTGTCAAAGTATATTACAACAATAGACATAATGCTTTAAACAGCTCATTCTCAACACCTTGCAAAAAAAATAAAATAATAATAATCCTATCAAGCTTTATTGTGTGAAAAAAATGTGTTGTACAGTAGTTGTCACGATACCAAAATTTTGACTTCGATACGATACCTGACTAAAATACCTCGATACTACTATTGAAATGATACCATGAAAAAAGTGAATAAAAAAATAAAAGAAAATAAATAACTTGTTCTCACTTGTTCCTGCCCTGGTTTTTGAGCATTTCCTCCTCCTAAAACAACAAAACAAAACAAAAAACATGCCAGTGCCACCACACAGGTGAGCAACTACCAGTCTATGACTATGATACAGCCGAGCCTACCGGTATGTATAGAGCTTTGCAACTTTGGTAAATTAGCTTAGAGCATAACCTAAGGGTGCACTCTAAAAAATGCTGGGTTAAATACAACCCAGTGCTGGGTAAAATAGGGACAAACC